GAGTCTTGAACTTCTGCCCTATTCTAAATAAAGCAAATTGCTTGTTCTCCAGTGTTCTTCTGATGCAGATTTTTTGTAGGTGTTGAGGTCATCTTCGAAAGCTTTACACAACTTTATACCAAAGCATTGTTCCATAGTCCTTTCACAGTGTGACCACTGAACTTGCACATAAGGTGTACTCACATGTGGAAACAAAAGCATCAACTTATTCATACTGGGGCTATTTTGGATGATTAACATCTATTGTCCATACCATGTGTTTGCATTTAGCAAAAGTAGAATGTTCTGATTTGTCCATGATAGGAAACAAAATTAAGATATGCAGTTTGTAGTGGCAGAAGATGGATATATTGCTGTGTTCCTCTTTCTTGGAAAGTATTGCACTGAGGTTGTTTATCATAGTACAAAAACAGATAAATATGCTGCAGTATGTAAATGAAAGCTAAGACTGTGTGATAGGTGAAAGAAGCCACGAATAATGGTGAAAACATGCTGATTGCAGAGAATTAGATGAATGTGAATGTAGTAGTGGTATAGAAATATGAGCACTATGTAATGAGTTACATTGGTGTCAGTGATGCTCAGAATTGCAGTCAGAATATTTGTAGAAAAGTCAAGCAAGGCAGCCTCGCTGTTACCATGTTTGTTGCATAATTTATTTTGTCAGAGTAATGGTAAAATTTAAATGTGCTGAGCCTATCTTCGCCTTTCTCTGTGTGGAATTTACATCACATTCTCTTTGAGCATTGTCATATCAACATCTCATAACGTTCCAGGTGTTTGAACGCTTAGGTAATATTAACAGGAGTATGTCTAAAAGAGTAGAGCACATGGTTGGTGTTTTGATGGAGTAGAATAGTGGTCAGTTTTTGTGTTTGTCTTATGTTTAATTGGCACAAGCTATATTTTATGTCGATAATGTAGCTCATGGCCTAAGTGATCTCTCATGGGCTGATAACAGTTGCCACTTGATCTGTAATGCTTTTCAGGTTGTCTTACTTTAGGTATGAGTACATTTGAAGTTTGTTTACCATGGTAACATTTCTTTTCATAAGATCTGCTCGTTATTTTGTTCTTCACAGTGTTCTTTCTTCGCATGATGTAAGAGTTTGGTTTGTATTTTTGAATTGGTTGAATTAACTCTGGTTCCTGGTTCATTGTAATGTCAACATCAGATCTGAATTATGGTTTAGGTGAATGGGTAAACCTGCTGCCTCTGACAGTAGGTTTCTTTCCTTCCAGGGTGCCTGGGTCAGCTGTATTCGCTGATCCAGCGACATGTGCCCCCTCCCCTCCCATTTGATGCCCCTTTGATGTCTGAGCCTCCCCCAGCCCCACAACTAGAAGCTGCTGATCTGACAGATGCCACTGTTGATAACTTGCTCCGATCGCTTGCAGGCGACGTCATGTTCCGTAAATATTCTGTGCAAAATGTGACTCGAGCATTGGAAGCAGTGCTCAAACAAGGCATGACTGTGAGTGAGGCATCTCTAAGATTTGGAATCAAGCGGTCCACCCTGCAGTTCTATCTGAAGAAATTGAATGTCGTAATGAGAAAGTCAACTGTTCGATTCCAACAGGACGAGTCTCGCTTATATCTTTAACTTTATTGTGAAAATGCAAGAACTGGAATTACAGTAGGATAATTTGTTCGTTTATGCAGGGTGTCCCACAGCAGGATATCCATAACTTAACTTCATGCTCTTGGGATCATTTTGAGTCAAAAGTTCAGATAATTGTGGGTCCAATCTGCAATGGTTTGTCAAGAAAATGTTCTGCACTCACTATGAATTGGCTGTTGGAGAAATTAGTTCTAGGCTGTGCACATGGTGTGCATAGGCAAGGTGGGGCAGTCAGTGCTTAAAGACTGCTTGACAGCTGTACTTGGGTTTCCTATAGGAAGATTTGCCATTGTTATTGGAAGATGTTCCTCTGCTAAGCAGACAAGAGATGTGGCTGCAGCAAGATGGCACTCCTCATTTTGGTAGGCAGCTGACTGCATTTCATAATCAACAGATTCCAGACCATTGGATTGGCCAAGATGGTCCAGTTGCCTGGCTAGTGAGATCACCAGATCTTTCGCCTTTGGACTACCTTCTCTGGGGTCACACGAAATCCCTGGTGTATGCCATCAAGTTGGACAGTAGGGCTGAGCTGCTGAATTGAATAATGGACTCTGTTGCTAACATCAGAAATGATCATCGTCTGTTACTTCAATTACACGACTGGCTCAACTGTGCGTTGACGATCAGGATGGCCATTTTGAGTTACGTAAATAATGTAATTGAAAAGGCAATTTAGATTGTAGTCTTTGCTTAATAATAACGTAACCCAAAATTAATGGAAATAATTTAAAAGTTACAAATGCAATAAAATGCTCGTTCTTTTGACAAACCGTTGCAGATCAGGCGCAAGTTTATTTGAACTTTTTGACTTGAACCCAAGTGCACGTGGTTAAGCTATGGACATTCTGTTGCAGGACACCTGTGTGTTTTAATGCCATAGTATGTTTTTTTATTTGTGTGTTTTCATGTCAGTATTTAGAAGCACCGTAATAAATTTATGCTTTCCTAACATGAACATTTATATGGTATAATTTGTCAGAAAGAAAGAAGAATGTTTTGCAGTTGCAGTACTGTTACCAGAAAATGAACTTTGAAGCAAATATAAAGTCAGGTCTTTTGGGAAGTTTTTGAAAGACGCTTGACTTGTTTGGAGGTCATGCGGTCAACAGGTGCTGTCACTTTGAATGAAAGGATGCAATTGGAATTTATAGACTTATGTTTAAGCAAATTCATTGTTGACCTGTCCTCTCAGGATTAATGGTGTGTGAAAAATTTAATTCTTCCAGGTAAAGATTTTTTAATTTCTTGGGGTAACAATCGGATGTCTTTGGGACTATAGTAAGTCTTAGGTACATGATTTCACTACTACAAAATGTGAAATTGTCAAAGTAATTAACACTGGGGAAGCCACCACAGCACCTTCATAGCATTGTCAGTCGTACAGAATGTTTTGAATTGGCCTGAATTTAGTTTTGTTGTATTGTTTCTGTATTCTCTTGTGAGAGTGATGTGTTCACAGGTGCTATAGGTTTCCAACTTACAGCTTTTACCATGATTTTGAATGTGTTGAGATTGTTTCATATTTGCAAAACTTCTTATTAATGGACATTCTAGGGTGTGAAATACATATGTTGCATGAGTTAATGATGCAGAGTTGTATACTGTCATAAACACCAGTTTAAACCAAATGTCCTGATTAGCAAGCATCATGTGAATGTGGCTGACTGCAGGTGTTCTGATTTAAAAACTATATTCTTGGCTTTTTGGGGTAAAATGAGCAGGACTGCAAATACAAGTAACTGATAACCATGGGAGTAATCGAAGAGTCCTCGTAGTGTACTTTTTATGCATGACCATTGGTTTTATTTTAATCTCTGTAGAGCTGTGAAGAAAGCTGGCCAGTGATGGCAATGATCAGTTGGTGGTGTTCTAGTCTGTATGTTTACTGTATTTCGATATTTGGCTCTGTCCCATTGTCAGAACTTGCTCATAAATCGAGATGATTCCCATTGCAGTTTAATGCTGTCATTTTTTAAGTTTGTATTTATTGTAATTGTTAACATTACACAATTAAAAAACTGGGTGAACCAAAAGAATGGTGTGTTTTAAGAAAAAATTAACACAACTTGTTCGAAAATTAAGTTCTGTAGAACATATTTGTGCAAGGTTATTTATTTTGATATACCCATTGCACAAATATTTCCTACTTTGAAAATGGTAAAAATATTTATTTTAATTGGATCACATTTTTTCAGTATTGCTTGAGTAGGACAAATTTTGTAGGGTTATGGAAACCCAGTCCTTTTCATCGATGCATAGTCAGATGTGATGGGAGCTCACGTTTTGAACTGCTGCACTACTGTCGGACTGAGTTGGTTCTCGGTTTTTTCATCAATAAGTCTGGTCTGTTGTATTACAAGATAGCATCTGATCAACAATTGGCCAACTGAATTGAAGTATTTGAGCTGGAATCTAAGAAAGTCTTATCCAATATCAGTTGTAATATATGTGATTTGAATTATGAAATATACCTGTTTGGCATTGAAAATGGAAAATATTTTTTCTGAGTTATCTGAAGTGATTTTTTTTGTATCCATACTTAGATATGTTCTACACAAATTACTAGTTTAATTTGTAAATGCATTTTCAATATGTGCATTGTGAGCATCCAAGATCATCTGCAGCTGACATTGGAAATTTTTGCACAAGTGCAGGTAGTTTCTTTACTGGCAGTGATGACTGCTGCAAAAGGTTCTTGTTGCACAGTTGTGTGTGGTTTGATTTTGCAAACTGCAGTACATTCTCCCAAGACTACTAAACTCGAGAGACATATTTCCACCAGGAATTATCAATAATTTAGGGAAATGTTTGGGAAATGCAGTTTAATTATGTTTAGACTGTTTGTGCAAAGTTTTTATATAAGGTTGTTAAAATGCAGGCATTTCGGTTACTTTGTGTAGTTTTTCTTTCGTATTACCTTCTTGTGATGTAAACGGTTAGTTTCACAGCACAGGGATTTATTCATGTAGGATAAATAGTTCTATGTATTCTTCTTAGAGTAAATTGAATCCAAAATTATCTTAAGAGACAACTTGTGAATTTGAAATTAGCTGTTGAAAATTTTTTGTGGTTGATACTATTTTGGGCATGACCAGCAATATATGACTAGGTTTGCCATTATACCGAGACGTTAGAGCTTGTGAGTCAGGGATTTTGAGGTTGTATCAGTGATCTGTATACAGTTGGATCTTTGGTACATCTGTTTTCCAATTTTAAGTAGGAAGGCTTGTTGCAAGGTTTTGCAGTGCAAGTTGCACGAACTAAATAATGGAACTGTTCATCAAACTGCCTGTTTGGATCTGATCCGAATATAGTATTGATGTAAACTCATTAGTATCATGGCTTAACGTTGACAATTTTCTTTGGTTCGTACAGGTTTTGCACCATGGCATGTTGCAGACCAGTCTAGGGATGAGGTATTCATGGCAGCACAAGAGTCTGTTGGTGCTCAGAGGGATTCACAAGGTAAGATTAAAAGCCTGCTATATTTATTTGCCTAAGGAATCACAGGGCAGCAACAGTTTTGGTTACAGTTTACTACTGCTGACACTGCTGGTCAGTTGAAATGAAATATTTTAATGCTCCTCTCCAAATCTAGGCAAAAGTTACAACAGAGCTATTATGGTAAATCCGGCCAGAAGTTTTAAGTTGGCACATAGTTTTTGTATGAAATTGAACTTTACATATTTTATTTTCTCTGACCTTCCATTTGTGACAGATGCATTCATTTAATTTCTTAATAAAAGGATTGGGTTATATCAGTAATTTCATTCAGATGCAGGTATACTTCGAGTTTTCATTGAAAAAAATTAATACAATTTGCTTGAAATCATAACAATTGTTTACCAGTGTTCCACTGCAAGTTTCATTTTGTTTTGTGCCCTGTGATTCCTTTATATTACCAGAGATCATGGTCAGATTTATATTTCCTGACTTAAGCAGCTCCAGCCTCTGAATTGGTGTTGCAAAATGCCCCTCTCTTCGGCTTCAGCATCCTGCATCATCGGGCATTCATCGTGGAATGTGACCTCGCCCCAACACTGAACCATGCAGTATATAAACGTTTTAAAGGCTGTACTTGTGCAGGTCATTTTTGTGGCACAGCAGTTTAAAAATGTTTTCTTAATTGGTAATTGGTTCATGAAGGATGGTTCTGGGGAAGACAGGTGCTTTTGTGGGTATTTCCATCCAGTTACGTTGTAGGCTAGACAGGATTATGGGGTGGAATTAGTATGAAAGTTCCCTTGATCATATAAACCATATAGGTTTATCTTCAGTGCAAGATTTTGCTTGTTGTACCTAGATAATGTTTATCAGAGAACAAAAAGAGTAATGGAGATTTTTTTCTGTACATCATTGTTTTATATTTAGCATGTTAAATTAACAAGTAGTGGGTATATTTATTATGATATTAATGAGGTAAATTGTAATATTTTACATGTATAGATGAGGATGGGTTCTGGATTTGACTGGTTTGGAAGTAAAGGATGAGATTCACATACTTCTAGGTTAGGATTTAAGACTGCACTGGAGTGGTTGATAAACTGACTAATCCTTTCTTGGCATAAGGGACAGCACATCTTGTGGGCATGATGTTACCACAAAAGTATTGGATTATTTTGTGCAACACAGGTTTTGTGCATTGTATAGCATTGTGTTTGTTTTGGGTGGCTCTTGCATACCCAGGAATAAAATCTTAGGTCTAGTCTGTTACATATAGCAAACTGGTGGAGTATAGCTTACAGTTGGGGGAGATGCTTTCTGTGATTATTACCTGGGAAAAATACGTACTTTTCGTGAGATTAAAGTACGGATTAGACCCTGTATGCATTTTGACAGTTTTCTCATTAAAAGTTTTATAGGCATAGTATTAATGTTATGTAGATGTTACTGTGCGATTAATGAATGCAACATTTAAACTGAGATTTTGGAAGATACAGGACTAAGTACACTTAAGCTTGACAACTTATAAAAGGTCTGAAATTATGAAGTGTAGTTCAGGTTATACAGTACAATTCTAATTGTGTATGGTATGCAACTGTAGGTAGAATAAAAATGATTTAGTTTGCCCAGGACTGGAATGAGGAAACATCTGCTATTTATCTTTTACAATTTGGTGGATGAGGAGCAGTCACTGCAGTGCAGCAAATGAGGTTTGTTGCGTATCCCAGCCGTGCGCTGCAGGCTGGCTGCCTAGCTGGGAGAACAGAAAGAAATCCATAAAAGCTGCAAATCAATAGCAAGGCAAGCTCTGTAACTTCCCCATGCACCTCTCCTCCCCAGACTGTCTGCGTGCACCCCATCTTTTCCCAGCTGGCTGTAACCTCCCCCCTGGTTATTCAGGTCAATTGTATCTTTGAATAGGTGTTTGTAGGTTAGGTTTTTATAGAAATACTTGGCACTGGACAGTTAACTAATATGTTACTCAGTGTACATTTTTTAAACATTTCAACTTCCTAAGATTTAAGCTATTTGCAACACGGTAGTATATTTATGCAAACTTTTGTTAAGCTTAGAGCAATGTGCTGTTTAGACTAATTGAATTTTGCATAGTTGATATTGGGGGAACCTTGTAGAAAGTAAGCAGTAATGAGCGAAAGCTGATGTTGCATTGGATGTAGTTTCTTAATTTTGGGAGATGTGGAATTGCAATAACTTGGATATGTAGTCCTTGAATATTCCCATTTTTACATTTAAAAATACTACATAGTGTTTGCAAGGCTCAGTATATTTTTGTTGAATTATATTTTCATGTAATTTTTATTTGAGAGAACTTTGTTTTGTTCGCCCCAGCACACAACAAAATAATATAACAATGTGTTGGCATAGCTGCATTCAAAAAGGTGATCGGAGGGAAATATAGTGTCAAAGGAGAGGAAATGATGGGTAGAGACAGGGAAAGATTGTAACATTGCTGAAAGGAGTGGAAGAGCAGTGTAGGTTCCTGGAAAGAAAGAGGAGATAATAAGAATGACAGATGCAGGTTTGGTGTAAGGAAGACAAAGCTTTGCCTTATTGTGGTAGTTCTTAGAAGTGTATTGGTTGTAGGAGGCTTACATATTATGGAACATGAGATGAAGATAAAGCTTGTTAATTGAAGAGGCAGAGTAAAAAGAACTTAAAAAGGAATGATCTTACAGGGAGCATTAAGATAAAAAGGGAGTGGTTGGTTGTTAGGTGGGGGTGAAGCATAAAGGAAGAAAATAGAGGAGAGTAAGTATGGAAAGGGATGTATTTACATACTGTGAAGCATAAAGGAAGAAAATAGATGAGAGTAAGTATGGAAAGGGATGTATTTATTCCCTTGGAAGGGGAAGCTAAAGACTATGTTAAAGATACGGAAGCAAGATGGAATGAACAGTTGAAAGGAAATATGAAAAGAGCAGCAACGTTCCAAGAACCTCTCACTAGGTTGCAGAATACAGATTATTTGCAGTGATGATAGTCACTATATTTAAGAAACGTGAGTTAATGGAGAGGGAGGACTGTCTGGGTATGGCATAAAATGTTAAATATCAAAAGATTACAAAGATGAATAGAAGCTAGAGAGCAGAAAGAAATTGTGGAAGTAGGGTATAAGAAGAAATGTGAATTTGAAACATCTTGAGAAATTGGAACTATGATATAATTTTAGTATATTGCAGTATAATGCAACTTTCTCATAGTGAGATATATGGCCAGGACGATAGGGTCATACTGTTAAGAATTAAATAAAAAGGAGCAAGGTGTGTTCTGAGTAGTATAGTAGGGAGTGGGGAAAGGTTCACTGTATGTTGAGGATGAGTCAGTGTAATAAAATCAGGATGATGCCGAACAGAGAATGGAGAAGAGCAAGACGAAAGTAGGACAGTGAAGCAGCAAGATGGAAATAGACAAAGGAATGATGTTATTTGGTATGGTGTATAATTTTTTTTGTACAGTTCAAGGTAAAATGGATGAAGCTTAAAAAATGCCTGCATAGTTTTCTTACATGTTAAAGTAGTCACTTTTTAACATCAAACTGAGTTGAATGGGTGAGGTAGAATTATTTGCTACTTATTTCATGGCAAGATGGTATTACATGTACTGCTTGAAATTTCCAACCTCTGGTACAAGAGAATATAGTGAAGTTTATTGAAGTAGGTTGTAGATCACTTATTCAGAATATTGTAGGTGTGGTTTTAAGTTATATTCTTACTACAACACAGTTGCAAACTTAAGTTTTATAGATAACTTGATTTTAAAACAAGCTTTTCTTTCCCAGTCAAAATTCTAAGTATGACTAATACATGTCCTCCAGAGGATTTGACAGCGAGGGATGAAACAAGGTAGGGTGGAGAGAGGGGAAGTACATGTAACCTGTCAGAGACTGGAGGGTGCCTGGTTGGTATTAGGGACGACTGACCCAAATTAAAAATTACTGGGAACATCTTTATTAGTGTGTGATGTATTTGTTGGAGATTTATAGTTTTAAGCAAAATTAAATTGATGTCACTTACGGTTTAGAGCAAAATTAAATTGGAAGTATTTACTTGATTTGAAACATACCAGAGGAGGAAGCTGACTATGGTCCTGGCATTGTGTTGGTAGGGTACTTTTTTTTACAGGGGTGTACCTGCTAACATGCTATCTAGATTTGAAAATACTTTGATGAATTTTATGCTAACATTCCTTAGAATTTCTGTTGAACATTTTGTCAAAATTTTTGAGCTGTACTTGGTTCACCTCTGTAAGAAGTAGTAGTTTCAGTTAATTGTAGGCAGTGTACTTTATTTACATATTTAGTGTTGAATTACTTGAATATTGTTAATATGATTGGGTATTGGCCTTCTATGACCTGTCTGTGTTTTTTATAAGCATGCCTGCTTTTCATGAGTACACTTCAGTCTACATACATTTTTAGTGCGGATATCTCGTCCGTATTTCTGTGTACAATGATGGCCTTACTGCTGTTGATTTGGTACTTGCTTTTAATACATTACATTTATATAAATAAGTACTTCCTCCAACCTTACTAAACCACCATTTGTATAGTTGCTAGGTGTGTTGGTACGAAGGGTGTTTTTTTATTTTACATTCTGTTGTAAGTAAAACTGTACATAAAATGAGACTAACTTTCTACAGATATGAGTAAGAAGTGTTTTCTTTACAGTAAGTACAGAATACACCACAGAAGACATTTAGTTTGAAGATGTGTGCATTCCTGTGTGTGCCAACTGCTATTTGGAAATGTGCAAGCTTGTTTTCTCAATATGAAGTCCTTGAAGATATTTTTGAATGTAGCGAGTCCATTTTTTTCTTCAATGTTTTCCCCCACAAAATTGATTACTTCAAGTACTTTCAAAGAAAACTTTGAAGGTTCAATGTTTTTAATTGCAATGTTACTGGAATGAAGAAATGTGAAGCCATGAAAAAGTGCTGTTGGAAGAAATTGGAAGTTGCAATTCATGGACAGTCTTCTAAGCGTAACTTGCAGAAAACAACTG